AAAAAAACTAAGTGTGGATCGTAGTATCTACGACAGGAACGAAGTTTCAAATTGATGTCTCAGGACTATCATGAGAAAAAAAATGTTAACCGTTTAATATTGATAATGTTAATCAAATTAAAAAAGTAGGCTTAAACAGATAATTGTTTAATATTTTTAGTTTCCGTATAAAAATTTACAACGGTAAACTTGTTTAAATTATTATATTCATAATTTAAATTAATGACAATATAAAGTAATGATATATCTTACCAGTATAATTATAAACAGATTTAAATTTATAATTTATTTGATTGACTTTTTTCTTGTAACGAGATAATCATCAAGCTATCAACTCTTCTAAATAATAAGAATGACTGATAAGGACTGGTAGTTATCAATTATGCCTGGTTGATAAAGAATGACTGATAATTAATAACTAATAATCATTAATTATTGATAAATTATTATTGGTTAATGATAATCTGGAAATCTGCTGCTAAAATAATTATTAATAATTCANTAATGAGATAAGATGATATGAAAGAGTACATAAAGGGTATGGTTTTCGTAAAAAGAATGAGGATGGAGAAAGAATTCTGGATTTTGCAGTATCGAATGATCTTTCTGTGATTAACACTTATTTTAGAAAGAAGGACAGCTTATTTGAGTGTAGATGATGTGGGAGATCGTGTCAAGTGGAATTTTAGGATAAGGGTGGCCGATCTCAAGTAGTTGGGATTAAGGCGAGGAAGAAGAAGAAGAAGTTATATACAATCTAATTTAATGTCTTTAAACAACAACTCTGAGGTCACCCACTTGGCACATTCCTGCAGGACAGCGTGACTCATTGACGTGATGCTGTCGTTCAGCCGGACCGAGCCTTTTTTTTGCCAAATTCGCAAAATATTTTCAAATGCCAACAATACCAGAAAGTATGGCCATGCCTATAACATATATAATGAAATTCAGACAGAGTCTATTTAATACGACTGCTGATGAATGCGTAGATGATGTGAGTGATCGTGTCAAGTGGATACTTAAGATACGATTGGTCGACCCCTAGTATTTGGGATAAAGGCGAGGAAAAAGAAAAAGAAGATAAATTATTTAAGTACGTATGCTTCCATTTTAAAAGATTAAGTTGCTAGACAGAGAACAGTCTGAAAAAATATTTGAAAACGATTATTGATTTCTTTTAGTTGCATATATTTATTGATTTATCCTCTATTCTTTACGTGAAATTGTAAATAATTTCTAAAATATTGTTTCGACTATTCATTTTCTTAATTACATTGTTTTCTATTTTATAAGTTAGTTAAATATATAAATTTCAATTAAAAAGAATAAAGGTTGATACATCTATAAGTTATAAGGGATGATCCTAAAAAGTAATTAATAGTTATTAAAACAAGAACTGTATGTAACTAAAAGAAATCAAACATTATTTTTAATATTACATTTATTTTGCATGTAATCAAGTGATTTATTACAAACCGGTTAATTTGTTGAATCAACGTTAATTTACATTTCATATTTTTTAATTTAAATAATATAGGCTCTCATTTAAGGTATTGATTCAGCTTAATATCATTAAAAATACCTACTTAAATATATTAATTTTGTATTTAGTATTTACGGTTAATAATAGTATTATTAACTATTACATACTAGATAGCGCCATGTTTATAAAATCCAGATAATTCCATAGGTTATAATCTTATAGAGGTTATTTTACGTGGTTGTCAATAAATTATTTATTAGCTTCGATGCGAAGCTGAGAAGGTATTGGTTTTACTATGATGTGTTTTTTTTTTGTGTCTGTTACCACTTTTTCTCAGCTCTCACTGAACGGATTTCTTTCAACGATACGTCAAAAGATCACAAAACGTAATTGAAAAAATTTCCCTCGTTCCCCGTAAATGGGGGAAACCTCCAAAAAAATTACAAATTTAAAAATCGCTAATTTTCGAAATTTTTTCAATTTTTTTTACTAAAAACTGCCGTAACTTTTTCAAAAATGAACATATCAATATAATTTTTTTTTATATAGATGCTTGATGTCTTTACCTATCATTTGGTATATTTTTTTTGTAAATTTGACCTTTTTTCTGCCCACAGGGGGGGATTTAAAATGACAACTTTTTCACAAAAAATTAACTTTTTCAACTTAACTTTTGAAAATGTTCCGGAAGGTCTGACACTTTTATATATATCTTAAATTAAAGCTAATGTAATATACTTTAATTTGAAAAAAAAAAATTTGACCTCTGGACTTGTCTTCACGGCGAAAATGGCTACCGAATGCTATTTTCGTGTGAAAATTCTCGATTTTATTATTTATATTATATTTAACTTTATAATGCTATAACTTATTGAAAAGTTTATGGATCCACACAATTTTTTTATGAGAAATAATATTTTTTAATAAACCCTTTTTCATTCGACATACTTTATCTTAATCGAGATATTAATAAGGAACCAGCAGATCAAGTAGCTTTTGGAATAAAACACCAATTTTTTTAAAATTAAACACTATCTAAAGATTTGCATCGAAGCGTTTATTTTTGATAGTGATTTTAATCACTGTCAGATATCATTATACTTGATCCAACTATGCCACGTCACCACTGTGCCGCGACCCCCCTGTGCTGGGTTTTTTAAATTTTTTATTAGTTGAATATTTTTTATTGATTTTCTGATTGCTTAAAAAATAATCCTAAAAATAAAAAAGGCAAAGCTTTTACTATTATCTGTAAAAAACAGATAATAATAGAAAAAAAACTAACTAAAAAATCACATTAATTCAAGATTTTATTTAAACCAGTATAGGCCATTTTCTAATATTTCATTTATTTCAGTATATAGTTTCGATAGAGATATAAAAATTATATTTTTTAATTTATTATAAAAATTTTAATCAGCCATAAAAAATGTATAATTATAGATTTAAGCAAAAAAATGATAGGGAAGTGTTCATTTTTAATTTTTATAAANTTATAGATTTAAGCAAAAAAATGATAGGGAAGTGTTCATTTTTAATTTTTATAAAATGACCATCAAAATAAATTTTGAAAGCACTTCCTAAATATAACCCATAAATATTTCAAATTGGGTTTTTTTTTCAATAAACAATTAATTACTTAATTACCTATTATTACGAATTAGTAATTATCTCAAAAACTAGAATCAGCAAAAAAATTGTATTTGGAATTTACTATTATATTGTTTGACGCAAAAGTATTGTGCCGTGTTATTCAATAATAAGATAACCGAGTAGATGAATCATTGTTAATGACGAATCAATATTTATATGAAGAAATTTATTTTTGTTACATTTATTCATTTATGCCTTATTAATGTTTAATTAATCATAATTGATCACTTATTGCTTTGAGAAATTTTATTAATTTATACAGAAAATAAATTTTCTTTTCATAAATATAAGTTCTGATAAATGCATCTTTAAACTGCAACAGGTTGGATATATAAATATATACAGGATGAATGATTTAGTCTATGACACTAATTTTTTCAAAAACTATTGAACATTATAAAATTTTATGAAGAGAATTTTTTTTTTTTTTTTAAGAAAACTTCGACTTAATGGCCATTGGAGAGAAAAATTAATTGGTCCAGTAAAATACAATATTTTGTAATCATACGAAAATATTTTTGTTCTTTCCTTCAGGAATAAAAAGCTTTAGTTTTAATTTTCTTAAATGGGAATGTCTATTTTAAACTTGATAATATGATATAGAAAATATTACAAATATTTTTGCTGCTATAATTATTTTTACTCAATCAACCGTTTGTGTTTTAGGATTTTTTAAAAATTTAAGTTAAAATTTATAATAAATTTGGTTTTGCTAACACAAAAGGCAGCAATAATCCGTTTCAATAGACGATCAATGATTTTTTTATGGTAGTTCTCAATCAAAATTGTCTAAGCTGGTGACCGACAATGTACGATAGTAAACTTATGTTGAATATAAAAGTATGCGTCCAATAATAGATATGACTTTTTAAAGAAAGAATTTCTGTATGTTTGATAAATACTTCAATGAATAGAAATTACAAGTTTATGTGACGAAATGTAAAAATGAAAATTTTTGTTATTCTCAACATTAAAATTTCATTAGAAAATTGTTTTCATAAAGCTAAACTTTAACATACTGAAACAAATGAATAATTGAAAAAATAAAAAAAAAGATAGAACCAAATTGTTTGTAATTTTTTTCTCTAAAATTGTTTAGTTATAATTAGGGGTTTGCATTTGCAAAATTATAATTTTTTGTATTACTGGAAAGATAAATAAAGCTATTAAACTAAATAATAATATAGAATTTCTTAAACTAAATAATTTTTTTCTTTACGTAATTTAAAAATATTCAATAGTTCTTGAGAAAATGAGTGTCTTACCAAAAATCAATCACTCTGTATACAAATAATATTCACATAAAAATATAATTGTCATAATAATCATAACATATGAACTTACGAGATTAATAATTAATCTCTTATGTAATATTATTATGTTTATTAGACTTAATTATTTGTAGTTTTTATTATTATATTTAGTTATCTGTTATTACGCCAGGGAATGAAAGTATTTTATATATAAAACGTGATGTTTTAGTATAAACTCAACAACTTAGGAACAATTGTAATTTGCGTCTATTATTGTTTCCGATAGCTTTATAGTTAGTGCGATTATTTGTTTGGAAAATTTTTGGAGAACTATAAAACTCAGTACAAATAGGTCTACTAAACCAAGAAGACTTCAAATGTAAAGTTCGGTTAGTTGCATAGATACAATATAACATAAAAACTATTTAGGAAAGATTCAGGGTCGGGTATAAACATTTGGGGACTAGGTCAAATATTTTTTGGGATTCTTTAAACGTAACAAAAAAAAATACAGACACAAAAGGGAAGTTATCAGTTGAAGAATAAGTGTTCACAAAAAAAATGTTCTAGAGTATTATATTTATTTTGTACTAATTTGATTCTTTTAACATTAGACACCTAAATTTTCTTAAAATAAATTATGACAAGAAAATTCTTATTGATATTTTTTTGTTTCGTATATGTCTTCATTATCAATTACTAAATATTTTTTAATTCATCTCTTATACCTTATAAGGATGTCAATTTTATATTTTTAAATAGCAACATATGTATTTAGCTAGATTATAAAATAGAAAATAATCTAATTAAAAAAGTGACAGTCGTCAATAACAACTTTAATCTATTATTTTGGAAGTTATTACTATTTTTTAAATTAGAGTAAAGATTAAAAGTAGTATAACCCATACCTCACTTCCATTCTAATTATTTCAATAACTACATGTACACCTGTGTCAAAAAATTATAATTATAATAAATTATTGAATATTACTAAATACTAACTCATATAATCGAACGTGTATTACAAATTTAGTTTTTTTACTAAATATCTGGATTTTTATTCTATTGTAAAATTTTAACGTACTATATTTGGTGCCTTATGATAAAAATAATGATTATTTTACTAAGTTTAAAATTTGTTTCTTGTACATTTTTTAACATAGGTAAAAGTGATTAAATTTTTTTTTGATATAAAGGCACCAAAAATGTGGGTTCTAATATCAATTTAAGAGCTTTGGCCCTAAAACCTTCCGTTTAATACAGCCCTGAAATGATTTCTTAGAATAATTAGTTAATATAAAATAAATATTACGCAAACATCTATAAAAACTAATTTTATTTTTCAAACATATTTTATGCAGAAGAAAATATTTACAAAGTTATAAATCTTTGAAGTGTATGTCCAATATGTTAACATCAATCATCTAGTGGATTTTGAACTTCGTAAAACACGTTTGTTTTATTCTTAATTTTCCAATGTTGTACCTGTGTATTTTCTGTGTAAATCAAACTAGCTAATTATTTATTTAGAAGTATTCATAAAGTATTCGATTTTTAACCGAGGTTTTCAAAAAACTTTCAAGTTGTATCTAAAGAAAATGTATATATATGAAAATTAAACATGATTCTAGTAAAGACTTCGGCAGTTTTTCATGTTATGTAATTAGGTTTGTATGTAAAATGCCCAGTGAAATTCAAGAAGCCATACTTAGAAAATAGATAAATTCCTACTAATATAATATTAAGTTTCAGTATAGCTTATATTCATCGTACATATCAGTGTCCATATAGATAATATATTTATAAGATTGCAATGTAAGTTAAAAAAATACATCTAGTTGCATTTCAGACAACGAAGCTCTTAACATTATCAATTTGGTCATGAGGAGTTTGGGCAACAATGATACGGTATTGTTCTGGGATATGTTCTATCTCTCCGACCCTCGACGTTTTATGTACGAAGACGTCAAACGAGTACCATATATATATTCTCAGGTAAATCGTGTATTTTTGATTAACGGACCTTAAAGGACTTTTTGAATAAAAACATTTTATTATATATGTCATAGGCATGGCCATACTTTCTGGTATTGTTGGCATTCGAAAATATTTTGCGAATTTGGCAAAAAAAAGGCTCGGTCCGGCTGAACGACAGCATAACGTCAATGAGTCACGCTGTCCTGCAGGAATGTGCTAAGTGGGTGACCTCAGAGTTGTTGTTTAAAGACATTAAATTAGATTGTATATAACTTCTTCTTCTTATTCCTCGCCTTAATCCCAACTACTTGAGGTCGGCCACCCTTATCCTAAACTTCCACTTGACACAATCTCCCACATCATCTACACTCACATAAGCTGTCCTCAAATCGCATTCAATAGTATCTCTCCATCTCTTTTTTGGTCTTCTTCTACCTCTTCTCCCTTCAACATTTATATCTATAACTGTTTTTAGAGCTTCCGATTCTTCTATCCTTGTAACATGACCAAACCATCTAAGTCTATTTTCTCTCATCTGATCCACGATTGACGCTACACCTATACTCGCTTTTATATGCTCGTTCCTTATTCTATCTTTTTTAGTCACTCCACTCATCCATCTAAGAATTCTCATCTCTGATACACTCATTCTCTGCTCTACTTTCTTATCAACCGCCCAACACTTATAGCTGGCCTTATTACAGTCTTGTAGAATTTACCTTTCAGCCTCATTGGAATTCTTTTATCGCATAAGACGCCATACGCTTCTCTCCACTTCAACCACCCGCATTTAATTCTGTGTCTTACATCCTCGTCAATACCACCACTCTTTTGCACAACTGACCCTAAATACTTAAAACTCTCCATCTCTCCAATCACGTCCTCTCCTATTGTCACTGACTTCCTCATTTCACCTTCTTCGTGTTCTCCTTTGTCAAACTCGTACTCTATATACTTTGTTTTACTTCTACTTATTCTTAAACCCTTTTCTTCAAGAGCTGATCTCCACATCTCTAGCCTTTGATTAATTTCCTTCCTATTTTCTCCTATTAACACTATATCGTCACCAAACAACATGCACCACGTCACTTCTCCTTGTATTTCTCTAGTAATTTCATCCATCACTATAGAGAATAAGTAAGGGCTTAAAGCAGAACCTTGGTGCACTCTTACTCTTACCCGAAAGCCTTCTGATACTCCTCCTACGCTATTTTACCCTGGTACAAGTGCCATCATACATATCTTCTATTATATTAATGTACCTATATTAGATTTTATATAACTCATATTGTGTTAATGTTACACACTATAATTGTATTTTGCTCTCAGATTGCTCTACCGTGGTTGGGAACACTGCCTTTACTTTTGGATATACGATAATTACAGAGTGTGCTCGTTACCTTGGGACTCGATACTGTTTTGGTATTGCACTGCCATATTGGTAGACTTTTGTTATTACTGGATGCACAGAGCTAGTCATGGTATTTATGTATAATTTGCAATAAGTCTACCACTAAAGAAAAAACTATTTTATTTTAGAAATTCATGTATTCTGGGCACAACATCAGGTCCACCACAGCTCGGATGAATTTAACGTGACTGTGGGCATCCGACAGTCGGTATTCCAGTCTTTAGTTGGATTTGTAAGTGATTTTTTATGATACCTTTTCCGCGTCCATAATTACACTAGTGACATAAATAATTAATATCATGAATAAATTAAAATTATATAATTTTAATTTGTTAATATTATTTTTATGATAACTTTATATTAATATTTTTTGTAGGTTTGTTACGTGCCGTTAGCTTTATTTATACCACCCGTACTATTGCTTGTCCATCAGCAGCTTAGCTTACTTTATCAAGTATGGATTCATACAGAAGCTATTCCCACATTAGGTCCCCTTGAATATTTGCTTAACACTCCAGCTCATCATAAAGTGCACCATGGTAAGTTAAATGGATAACTTAAAGCATGTAATGATAATTTTGTTATAAGCTTATTAAACAGGGAGTACCTTACGATGTCTGGATAAAAACTATGGCGGTGTATTGATTGTATGGGACAGGATCTTCGGTACGTTTCAAGAAGTTAAACCAAAAACGAAGATAACCTATGGTCTTGTGTACCCAATGAATAGATATAATCCTGTGTATTTACAAGTAAAAAATGTAAATTTGTGTTAAAATGATATATTATAGACTTCATTAAGTCTTTTTATTAGTGTTTTTACAATTATAATGTGTATAAGAAGTGGAATATGATGAATGATTGGAACAATAGATTGTGGTCTGTAATTAAAGGACCAAGTTGGATGCCAGGGTTATCGTGGACTGGTAAAGATGGAAAAAATCGTGTTTGTGTAATTGATTTTTCGTTTATTTTTTAATAAATAAACGCAATTGTCTACTTATTAACTAGTATTTTTTAAATTTTACAACCAATCAGGCTAAAGGAAAGAGAAAAAAATTCGATGTAAAAATCTCGTGGCTGCTCAAAGTTTATATATTAATTCACTTTGTTGCTTCGACCAATGGTTACTTTGCATTAGCTAAAATATCGCCAATAGTAAGTGTATAAAATAATGTGTCTTAATATCATAATATTTATTAAATAATTTCTATAAAAATCTTTCATTAGATATCTTTTAATATGCAAACTTTTATACATTTTTAACCTTACTAAAAAAAATTAACATTCGTTCACTCATCAAACAATTCATTATTTGTAATAAAACGTTTTATATATACTAATATTTAATGACAAAAATATTTTTACATAAAATATTACTTCATTACATGTATATAAATATTAGATATTCAAACACAACAACACATCACAATATAAAAAATCACATAAAACAATAATTAGTGTTATTACTTTGTACATTTTAATATTCAATAACAAAATCAATAAAAAGGATAACAATTCTTTTAACTAATAAACGGTAACAAAAGTATATACATTTTTTTATTTAAACTCTATAAAGAATTATAATTTCAGGATAATAAGGGATGATTAATTTTTTTAAAATAAAATCAGGGACGGACTGTCCACGGCATAAAAGGTATAATTGCCCTCTGTGCCGCTGTTTAAAGAGCAACAAGGATAGCTATGAATAGGAATATTAAAACGGTTATATTTAACAAAGAATTTAATAGTTATGTTTTACTATTAAATATAAATATTTTTTTAGTTTTTAATAATTTGCGTTGATAAGCGTAGGTTTGTATCTATTCACGGTCAATTGGTGTTAATGTAAAACCACTAATGTTAAAAAGAAATGATAATAAGTTAGATTTTTAATTACATTAGGCAATTATAATTTCCAGAATGTTAAAAAAAATGTAAGAATTTTTTGAAGCGAAAAAACGACAATTTTTGTATCCCTAGGTCAATAGTCCGCCTCTGTATAAAATTATCATGGTAACTATATTTATATTATAGTCAATAAACAATGATAATATTATACTTATTAATAGTTCATATGCTAATATTAAATGTAATTATAACAATTTTCAAAGAATCACATACATTCTACTGGCAATTAATTAGTAATCATAATGATAATCAAATTAATTGATACTTTTAATTTGGCACGCTAGTGAAATATTAGACTGTAAACAAATTTATGTAAAATTAAAACTATATTAAAAATATTATTAATTTAAAAAACTAAAAAATATTAAACTCAAAGCCACAAAAACTTAATGAAAAGTCGCGGATACGTATTTCGGAAACAATGTTACCATTATCAACGCTAAACACTTACTCAGTATCCTCGACTTTTCATTAAGTTATTGTGGCTTTGAGTTTAATATTTTTTAGTTTTTTAAATTAATAATATTTTTAATATAGTTTTAATTTTACTTAATTAATTAGCCACAAGTGATCAATTTTTATTATGTAAACAAATTTATTTAATATTTAATAAGTCATTAACAATAAAATATTCAAAGTGTAAAACACTATAACATTCATAAAAGGAAAATGCATAGCAATAGTATTTAATTGTTTTGACGTGGCAAAATCATGTAATTAATCACATCGTTCTTTACAAAATACGTTATAAGTAAACTGAATATTTCAACTGTCAAATCAACCGAAAACAATAACTTGATATTATTTAATGGTACAGTATCGTGTTGACATTAAACTTTTTAATGACAGGAAAGAAATTAATCTAAAAAACAACTTTAAGTTCTATCAAAAATATGAAATAATTAAGTTTTTTTATTCGAGCTTTTAAAAAACAAATGACAAAAACAAACGAAATATACAAGCATGTTAAAAGCAGTTGACTTTTATAAATAAATTCTAAAACGCTATTTATCATCGCCTTATTTTTAATTTTTTTTATAATTGAGTTAAGTGTAATAATAAAGTAAGTAACTTATTAAAAAAATTAATTCGTCATACCACCAGACTATTCATTATTAAATAATAATTTGCTATTTTTGAATAAAATTACTGTTAATTATACAATTATAAACATTAGCGTAGTTTGCATGAGTGGATGTGGTGGTTTTAGCATTCATAAAAAAATTTGTAGCCTCCTCAAATTAATTTTAGGGAGGACGGAGGAAATGAAGCAGTTTTTTCAGAAAACCTTCCCATCACATTTTTTGTCAAAATTTATGAAATAGTATGAGAGACCATAGCCCCCACAGATAATTTTTTCAAACTATATCTAGGCGTATAACTAAATTAATTAAAAAAATATATACATTATTAATTATTATATTTATTTGAAAATTTAGAAAATCATTTAAAAAATCGCATAGACGACCTAGGTTTTATTTGTCAAAATATTCTTAGATGTTTATTGTTAGCCATTTTAATTTCAAGAAATACTTTTAATGTTATACTGTTGAAAATATTTTAAATATAAATAATTTTACTGAGTAAAAATAAAAAATGTTATTTATTTTTTCAGGAAATCGATACTCCAAGTATGATGATCACTATATTTTATATTACATGGTCATTTATGAGTATAGGCATGTTATTTGAAAAGTCTCATTGGTCAACATTTTTTGAGTTATCTAGATGTTTAACTCTTTTTATTCATCTTACTTATTTTGAAAAATCTTGTTTGGAAATATTAGACGAGTCGACTATGGATGGATATCGAATATTATTTGGACCATCTACCCTTATTTGGTTTATAGCTATATTAGTAGGCTAATTTATTGACAATAGTTTAGTAATCACATTAAAAAAAACAAAATGCTGTTTAACAGCATAGTGATTTTAAATTATTAAAATAAAAAATTATTATTTTTAAGGTTCCAGATTTTTTAACAAATGAGTTAAACTTCTCATGTACAATTGTATATATAAATACATATAAAAATCAAGAATTTTTTACTAAATAAAAATACATTAGCATTGTTATATATGTTTGTTTACTATGCTTTGACGATCTTTAATTATAACTAAAGATTGTCAAAGATAATAATTATCTTAAATAATTATTATTTATTGTAAGTAAAATGTTTCATTTAGTTTTCTGTTTGACATCATTTTTATTTATTAGAACTATATTTCAAAAATGAATAAACTATATTCACACAATTAATAATTCTGTGTTACTTAAACATTTCTTCAGTGTTATTTTCAACCGGGCCAAATTCTTCTCTATCTAACGAGTTGATTAGTTCTTCGTTTTGATTACGAACTAAATTTAAAAAAAAGAAATATTATTCTGATAAACATGTTTTCATTATTACTAATTATTTAATTGTTTAGAGTAATTTTTTGTTTAAAAATATGAAGGATATTTTTATTCTTAAAAATTATTAGAATATATTCTTACAGTAAAATTGGTAAAGATTATGTGGATATTCAGAAATAATGTACACTCCAGAAAAATTTTCTTCACGCAGTTGTTATTACCAAACGCCAATACGTTTTATTTTATGTATCCCATGGGGACAATTTATTCAAGTGCTGGTTCATGAGCGATCCAACACGAGAAAGTTTGTATATATCTCGTCACATAACAAACCATTGACAAAGAGAGCTATATGTTTGCGCTCTATACTTATCATTAAACTTTAAAACGACTCTCATTATTTTTTAAACCTCATCATGCTTACACAGATAAAAAACTACCATATCATACTATCACTCTTTTTAATTTTAAATTTATATTTAAAATATTAAATAACTTTAAAATTCAAGAAAATTTCTTTGATATTCTACTTAGTGATACTTAGTGATACTTAGTTTTACTCAGTGTTATCGCAATAATATAAATTTTTAAATAACATTGTATTAATATCTCACCGAGTTCATCGATAACTGGTGCCATTCGAAGAGTAACGCCAACTAACAACATACAAGTTATTAGTAGCAGACCAGCTGTTATTATGATTGTCCATCTCGCTCTTTGAGGTAGATCATCTGGGTGTATTGTAGGGATTGGGTGAGGTTTTATTATGATCTGTCTGTCATCTTCTTGAAACTTCCTCCTTTTGTTTTTTCTTTTTATCTTAGTTTTAGGCTCATCCTCGAAATGCCGGTTGTCTTCCAACATGCCAGCGGTAGACCTGCATTTTAAAATTTATTAGTATTGGTTACACTTTAAATGTGTCAAGATAATTAACGAGTTTTGATTTTTTGAGACTTCAAACCTAATAGTTTATGAGGCATTTAAGCTCACGTAATTAATTGAACTGAATATAGGACATTATAAATAATATTTAATAATGTAATATTATAATATATTTTATATTTGTAGCATAAACACATTTTTATAATAAAAAAAAAAAATATTTTCCATTTATATTACCTTTGTAGCGCTGCAGTGAGTATGTGTCCTCCTAAATAGGGAACTCGTTTTTGGTTTTGAGACCATTCTTCGGTGGGACCAGGAAAACCATCCGATCTTACGATACCATCACAATGATGATGATGGTTTTGAAACAACTGTTCATTTTGTATGTTGTGTTTATGCTGGTGGTGATGATGAAAGTTGTGATGGTGGTGTTTATGACAAGAGTGCATACAACGGCCTTTCCTACGTTTTCTAAAAGAAAAGAAATGAAAATTCATTAGCCGTATCATAAAGCATTAGTATTATGTTTAGCAGAGAGTGTTTCAAAAGCTACAATAGACTTTTTAACATTTTATCTAATTCACATTATATAATAAATAAACAATAAAAAGTGGTAGACTATAAAAAATATACAAGCTGCTTGTTCGCACAAAAAAACTGTAGTTATACTACAGTTTGCTGTTTATTTTTATTTACATTGCATTATGTAAAAAAAATGCCACAAATAAAGTTTATTAAGTATCTATTAAAATATATTTTTATATAAAAAATACCTTTTATTAATTCTTTTATTAAACTTTGATAATCTAATTATTAATTCCAAAATAAAAATTATGTCATAGTTAAAATTTAAATAATGAAAGACTATTTACGAAGTTATCTGTTAATGCAGTCATCTATTTGCGCCTAATAACCTCTGCCCCTTGGTATGTCACAAATGAAAACTTACAAATGACTTAAACATACCAACAATTGACCAACTAGCAAAATCGCTCTACTCAAATATCCATTCAAATCTAAGTACTCATTTTAACCCCCTAATAAAGCAACTATCCTCGGCCTCCCTTCCCGATAATGCTCCAAGGAGATTAAAAAGAAGATGGCCTAGAGATCTTCTACAACAACTAATATAACAAAAAAAATTTTTTTTTAAACTTCCAAGCCGGGTGACACTGCTGAGTGTCATCCCATAAACATTAATTTCATTTCCACGTATATAATAGCTGTCATCAAATTTGCTTAATGTACTTGTTGTATAGATCGTAAATAAATTTTCTGATAAATAACAAAAAAAAAAAAATTTATTAAACAAACTATAAATTTAACGAACAAAATAACTTTCTTTTTTTATTCGTATTAGTTACTCACAATTGGCATATTTTTCAAATAAAAATTGTTAGAATCTTCCATTATTTGTATTATATAGATTTAAAAAAAATTGTTTTTTCGTAAAACTGTAATATAAATACTATTTATTAAATAGTTAATTCAATAGTTGTTTTTTATTATTGAATTAACAAAATGATAATAACTTAACTTCCACACAAAGTCAAGTTGGGTAAACTTTATAAATGTTATAAATTAAATGCTATTGAAAGTAACTAGCTCACTAAAGATTTCGTCGGAAACCATAATTGCTGTTATCGACCGACAATAAGCGAAAAGTTTTTGAACAAACCATTATAATAAAACTCAATAGGGACATACCCAAGCTTACGTTTGTTGCGTGAATTCTTCTCTGCCAATCTTTGTACAAGCAATTGGGGCTGTATCTTCGATTTCAATTTGGCATCATTAATATCCGCTTTTATTGATATAACTTTGCGATTTATTAGTGATGCCAATATATAATTCATATGATATTCATTACAACCACTCTGAAATAATATATATTATGATAGTTTTGTAGCTGTATGTTTGAATGTTCAAATAAATAATCATGGTATCAAATTATCATATCAAAATAACAATAATATTACAGATTAGGTAAAACTAAATATTATGTAAACTGTCATAACACAGAACAATTGGAAAGTGAATCAGTTTATCCAATTCTATCATTTATATTCATGATACGAACAGTCAAAATTCTCGTATAGTCAAGAGTCGAGGGTAGATATGAAATCTTGTACTTACATCGATCAGTTCCGGATCCGTAGAAATGGCTTTTTCCTGTAATCGTACTTTGTAGGTATTCATTATTCAAACCTTCAATTAATCTCCTTCAGCAGTCACATTATATTGCACTGTGGAAATGGAATAACATATTAATATACATTTCAGTAAGTTACCCTTTTTTAAATGATACATATTTTAAATATGTATTTTTTTCATCTAACTATAAGCTACGAATATAAACAGGAAACAAGTAAATCTTAAATGCCATTAAGTTTAAAAAATGAATATTAATACTTAAATAATGTCACAATATAAAAATATATTTAAACGGTTTACGCGATTAATACGTTACTAGAGCTGTTACATTTAAATAGTTGTTTATTTTATATTTGTGACGTAATAATTTATTTTTCATGAAAAGGTGAAAATACAAAAAAAAATATTCGGGGCGTATAATGTATTTTCGCATTTTCCGTTAAAAACAACATTTTTCCATTATGCATTAGTTTATTTATATATCAAAATCTGAAACGTTTTTGTAACGTAACTATATTTCCAGTCTAAGTTATTCTCTCATCTCTCTTTTTATTTTTAACAATTCTTTGTATATAATTTCACATTCAACATAAGATAATAACCTAATCGATTGTTTTTATTAATTTAAAACAATAAAATATACATTTATTTGACAGTTTATTAGTGAAAAAAGGATTATTTTAACAACAATTAAGTATTTAATTTGTCTATCCAGACACAACGGCTTATTCATTATTTTTAAAAAAATGATTATACTGGATTGGAATTAAGTCATTCAATTATAAAGAAATCTTTTCAACTCATTAATTGAAAAAAAAACCAACACTGATGTGTTGACAGCTAGAGAAATTTATTGAACAGTAATGATGATGAATTATTTTGAAAGTATAAATTGCATTTATCGGTGTAATGGCGTTTGAGTAAATTTCGTTTTTATGAGGTGAAAATTATTTAACGGAACGCATTAAATGGTTTTCAAGCACGTTTTTTTTTTATCTTGTAAAATATAAGCAAAATAATAGTTCTTGGTATAAAACTCTAACGAAGAATGTATTTATTTTTTCTTACTTTGTGCTAGATTAGAACCGTACCATTAAAGATTGTTTTTAGTTAATTTTTTTGTAATTTTTTATTTTTATAAATTAAACTTCAAAAATTAGTTCATTTTATAACTATTAAAAATAAAAAACCTGATAATTTTCTTTATAGGAAACAAAATGTGTGTCTTTAATGAGTTACACATATTTTAAGTGAAAATCAATTTTAATTTTTTAGAGTTTTTTTTCTAATTAGATTTAAAACACTTGTTTTGTTATAAATAACGTTTTTTTTTCTGATTTTATATTGATAAGTATTTTTTGTGTGTTTACTATAAATGATGCAAACGTAGGTACAAATAGAGTTTTAACTTAAAAAAAAACTTTTTTAAATCTACTCGAAATAATTTACCCAAACTTTTTTTTATTTATTTATAAATGTACTTTTATTTACAACATTATAAACATAAATTTTTTTTCCTACCACTATTGTATTTTGATTACATTTGTTGAAACCAAAACATAGTAGGCGGCCTATGTAGTTCAGTCATTAACGCGCCGTGTTTCAGTGCATAGATACTAGGGTTCGATTCCATTGCACTGGGCAATAAGGGTTTTCTGTTCTCGCTGACACAAGCAATACCTTCTAGAAGAAATATTAAATATGATTAATGATAAATAAAACAAAAATAATTAAACATTACCATTAAATATATATATAAAAATATATTATACATAAAAACGTATAAAGCAATTCTCTATTTGTGCCTACGGATGTAAAATTATCGTAATAATTTTCTTGAGAATATTCTGAAAATACAAGAATATTCTTTTTAACTTGATTATACTATATTTTACAATATTATAAAAGGGTCTTGAATCGATCAACAAGGAAAAGATTGGTCTCTTACAAATTTATTTATTTAGTCAGTATCGAAAGTAGAGGGAAGCCACACAGTGGGACCAAACGCTGATTTAGCCGGCCAAAAGTACCATTTTTAAATCAACTAATAAAAATTTTTTTTTTAGCAAATTTTTTTTATTATATCCTTATAAGGTCATGTACAAAAATTCAAGGCCAAAAATTGATATAGTAATGGTTGGGTGCTATTTAAATATCATAACACTGTATTTTTTTGTTTTTTTTCTAGGATTTTTATTATTTCTTCAATCATTTTTTCCTGCTTAATTAAAAACCTTAATTTTTTTTTTTTTAATTTAAAATGTTTAAAAAGTCATCGGCTTTCAAATTTACTAAGAAAAAATTTTTATTTCTTTTTTTTTTTAATTTTAATAATTTTTTACACACAAAAAAATGCAAATACTTATTTTACATTGTTTTTTAAAGAGTTTAACTCAAAATTACGCAATATTACGATTACACCAATACATGCATGTTGTAGAAGAACTCTTAAGCTACAATTACAAAAAAAAAAATTTTGCGTCAGATTGCATTTGAGCCCTGCACATAGAATTTCCCTATAATAAACGTGTATTTTTGTAAAAATTGTAATTTTAATCATTTCATTGGTTTTATCAGTTCGATCAACTTTATCAGCTTAAAAGTTGTAAAAATTAGATGTAATTAAAACTAATGATTCGTTAAAATTAAGTTTAAATAAAGTTTTTAATAATACACATAAAATAAAATACTATTATTACCAAAACATTTTTCTGTTTAATCAGATTGTGTTACATGTTACAAACGGCGCATCACGTCATAATAATTTGCACATATTTTTTATAAGTTTCACAGTGAATTAATTGCAGTTTTGTTTTAATTTAAAAGTTGTAAAAATTATTCTATTATTTTTAAATAATGGATAATCAAGTAGTATGTGGTAAGTGTTAACAATAATAAACTATATTAACAATAATATAATAGTATTTCTAAAATAAAACAATATTTAGTGGCACAGTAAAATTGTATAACTTATTTTATTTTATTTTATGTATATTATTAAAAACTTTATTTAAACTTAATTTTAACGAATCATTAGTTTTAATTACATCTAATTTTTACAACTTTTAAGCTGATAAAGTTGATCGAACTGATAAAACCAATGAAATGATTAAAATTACAATTTTTACAAAAATACACGTTTATTATAGGGAAATTCTATGTGCAGGGCTCAAATGCAATCTGACGCAAAATTTTTTTTTTTGTAATTGTAGCTTAAGAGTTCTTCTACAACATGCATGTATTGGTGTAATCGTAATATTGCGTAATTTTGAGTTAAACTCTTTAAAAAACAATGTAAAATAAGTATTTGCATTTTTTTGTGTGTAAAAAATTATTAAAATTAAAAAAAAAAAGAAATAAAAATTTTTTCTTAGTAAATTTGAAAGCCGATGACTTTTTAAACATTTTAAATTAAAAAAAAAAAAATTAAGGTTTTTAATTAAGCAGGAAAAAATGATTGAAGAAATAATAAAAATCCTAGAAAAAAAACAAAAAAATACAGTGTTATGATATTTAAATAGCACCCAACCATTACTATATCAATTTTTGGCCTTGAATTTTTGTACATGACCTTATAAGGATATAATAAAAAAAATTTGCTAAAAAAAAAATTTTTATTAGTTGATTTAAAAATGGTACTTTGGCCGGCTAAATTAGCGTTTGGTCCCACTGTGAGCCACCTCTACTTTCATTACTTTTATTTAACATTTTTCATTAGCCTACTTATTTTTTATAAAATAATACACCTCCCTTAATATTGTACACTGTTCATTAAGATTATCTAATTATAATGCTATTTTTCTATTATAATTTATAATTTTGTTTTCACATAATTATTTTTATAAAAAATTCCTAAAATTAATATAATATATTATAGTAAGTTTCATAATTTATTTTAAGTATTTATTTTCTTTAAATTAAAATTAATATATTTGACCAACATCATTGTATATTTGTTCAACATTTAGTTTGTTAACCAAAAATAATAAAGGAGTAAAATAAAAATGGAAGGCATAGTATGAGCCATCAATTCGACCATTATATTTAGCAATTATAATTTAGTTTTAACACTAACCGTCAGTTATCAATGTTAACATTATCAACCGTTAAATCATTCTTAATTTTAAAGTTAATTAATTGTAATAAAGTTTTAAGATGCAAATGATGATTAAAAAACATTTCATTTATTTAAAATTAAAAAAAATTTATATTATACAAAAAAAAAAAATAGATTTCAACATTTGGTAACACCAGTTTGAAGGCGCCGTAATAACGTTTAACGAATCAATTTTTTTTGACAACTATTGAGTCATTAATCTGGTTTTATTTAATCTATCATGTGATCATCTACTAAATAAAAAATTATTTTTTTATAATTCAATTTTCGAGTTTGATTGAATTTCTGTAATAAATTATTTAGTTTTATTTTTATTTTTATAATATATATTCTTGTAATAATTTGTAGAAAAATAATACAGTTATCGAGAATATTCTTTCGTTACATAACCATATACTATAGACTACGTATTTAATCGTTTAGTTTTTATTTTAAGTGCATGTACGATAAATCACTGTAGTAAATCTACTCACACGAGAACAAGACTGAAAATCTAATTTTTGAACAAAGCAAGGAAAATGGTGAAGTACTAATTACAATATAAAATCTGCTTGTATACCTTTATAAATAGCCTTTTTTAAAAGTTGTAAGAGTTTAATAATAGTGTTGTAGTGTGCAAATTTAAACCATCTAAGTTCATATTAGTACTGAGTGCTTTCATTCATCTTTTAAATAAACTAAATTTTACTTTAAGAATGAAATTATTAAAAAAATGTCGAGACTTATTTAATGACTTTTTTAAAACTAGAAATTTTATTTTATATACATTTTATAAATCGTGTAAGCGATATTTTTAGAAAAGAGTGAAATTTTCTGTGAACATTTATTTTTTTCTTTAAAATTCTCTCAATCAAACCATTTCTGTTTTCTTAGAGGTAAAGTTAGACGATTTTTGAAAATATGTCAACCACTACAATATCTTCTGCTTTCTATTTTTACGACGCAGTAATCTTTTTCCGGTATAATAAGGGTGTAACGATCCATCATAAGATTGTGTCACTTTTTACTCCACATGTTCAAGTGTGTTAACGTCTTTATAGACGAATAAAGTACGCAACAATAAATATATATATATTATTTTCTTAGTGCTAAAAATTGTCAATTGAATTTTTGTATCTCAAAAATTTTTCAATAGATACATGATCTTTGACGAATCCTTTAGTCAGCAAATACAAGTGTTCAAAAAGATTTCTCATATTATTTCCCATCGGAAAACGTTGTTCTGCCTAACATTTATTTCAACATTGTTTTTAGAACTTTTGTCTTTAACGAATAATTTGTTCGAGAAAAAATTACATATTTATAATAAAAATGTATCATAATAGTAAATCTCATTTATTTCTTGTTTTTTGGGACAATTTCTTTATTTTATAGAAAATTCATTTCGCGTATAACAATTGTGGTGTTAATAAGTAAAATAATTTTTATTTACTATTTGTAGTTTCAATGAAAAGTTGAGAACGTTTTACAAAGTGTTTTTTAAAGTCTATTCATAAAAATTCGTCCACACTAAGCTGCGACCCCAAAGTACTGGTTTAAAAAAAATATTAATTTTAGCTTCAATGCTAAGTTAAGAATGTATAAATTTTATCATAATGTGTTTATCTATTTATTTTTTTATTTTTGTGTCTGTCACTACTTTTTTTCAGCTCTCACTGAACCGATTTTTCTCAACAATTTTTAAAATTGGTAAATTGCGACATTTTTTTAAAAAATTGCCATAACTTATTGAAAAATGAACAAATCAAAATAATTTCTTTTTATATTGAAACTTTAGATATTTTCCTTTCGTTTAATATATATTTTTTCAAAATCTAACCCTTTACATGTCCACATTGCGGGATTTCAATAGCAACATTTGCACAAAAATTTAATTTTTTCAACTTAACTTTATAAAATATTCCAGAAATACTGGGTCCTCTAAACATATGTTAAATTAAAGCTCATGTTACGTAATATAAAATAATAAAAAAAAAATTGGTCTGACGACCTCTTATCTACGTGCAAATTGCTGCCATAGTTAAAAACGTGCTATTTTTGTGTTAAAACTTTTGATTTTAGATTTAACTTTTTGAAAAATGTATGGATCAACACGTTTTTTTTTTAGAAATCCAATTTTTCTTATACAGTGGGGCATTCAAAATTTGAAAACTACGTATAAAAAGTTAACTTTTTCAACTTAAGTTTTGACAATTTTCCTGAAATACTCCATCCTTTAAACATATGATAAATTAAAGCTTATTTTACGTACTATAATTTAAGAAAAACAAATTTGTCCCGACGACTTGCCTTTTGTATGTAAACCATTTTTTTCTATTATAATTTTTTAAATTTAAATTTAAATTTTGAAAAAGTATTAATTATTTATTCCTATTTTTTTTATATGTTAATACTTGTTTTTAATTAATGATTAATAATATAAAAAATTAGTGGTGATGGAAAAAATCTAATTACAGATTAGAAATCAAGGTTAAAAATGATCTTAGAATAAGTATATTTTGAAAATAATGAAAATTCCTTCTAGACCATTTACTCATAATTAATAATCAACGAAAAGTTTTGTATC